AAACATTTATGAGTTCCCAAACTTCTGATCCTGTTCAAAAACGTGTATCTTTTTTAAAATGTGCAAAACACATTAAAGTGCCCCATTCTCAACCTCAAAGCACAAAGATGAAAGGGAGCATGTATTCTCTGGAAATGTCTGCAAATCCCCAAACTTGTTTGAAGAACATGCCACTTTTTATAATGCACACTTCAAAAAGCTCAGTTTAAACAAATCAAAACAACAATACATATTGTCACACTTCAGGCGGTAGGTGAAATGGGCACACTTTTGAAAATTGTGTGCAGCAATGTACCCTTTTCCCATTCCAAATGTGCACCCATTTCCCTGACCCTAATCCTAATCCAATTCAGATTAAAAGCAAAAGCAGGTGTGAGATTCAATGAACTTCAAAGGGATCATTGGAGACTGTCCGCTGAGTTTGAAAAATCACTTCCACTAGATCCTTGTACCCATTTCTGACCTGTGAACACGATTCGTTCTGTACTTGGATGGGGCTGCTGAGGATGAGCGTGTGGTCAACGTGTGCTCACAGCAGTCAGCAGGGGAAAGCAATGGAAGGAAACAGTGAGAGACTGGATTTCAGCCTCGGTGAATTTTGATGGTTACATTCATCTTCGGGACGGAGGAGAAATTTTTTCAGTTCACACTTCCATGTGCAAATACCTAATTTTCTTTTTTGTCAACCAATCTATGAACTAAAACTCAATTATCCCTCGAAATTCATACTTTTCAGAAATTTGCAAGGGACGTCTCCAATTTTCAGTTTTCCAACAGATAAAGATCTCCAGTTGACAGATGTCCAAGAAATGAAAAAGTGCATATTAGGGGAAAGTGGGCCAAATGTGTATATTAACATTCAAGAAGGCATTGTATTAGGAAAAAGTCAAAAAGTGTACATTAGGTGGAGTTGCATAGAAAAGGTGTGTTTGAGGAGAAACCAGAACTAACCGTGTATGAGTTTTCATGCAATTAAAACAAAACAAAACCAAACCAAACCTCAGCATTCAGAATGAGCTGAAATTCAGAAAAAATTTCAACGTTTGGGAGCAACCAAACATAAGACCGGAAAAATGAGAAACAGAAATTGACAAATAGGTGCATTCTTGACCCTCAAACCTGCCAAATAATCACTAGAATTTGGTATAGTGGCTGCACCGATACATTTATTTGGGGGTGGCTCATCCCCAGATATGGCTTCTATCAGATGCAGCTCCTATTCTAGATATGGCTTCTATCAGATGCAGCTCCTATTCTAGATATGGCTTCTATCAGATGCAGCTTCTATTCTAGATCTACATTTCAGGGAGTGGCAGGATTCTCCGTATGATGGGTCACTCCAGATTAATAGCTGGACCACGTGGAAGAAGTCAGTGGCAACCATTGAAAATGGCGGTCCAAAATAGCCTCTTGCTCATGGGGATCAGGGAAGCAAGGCCTGATAGAAGGCCCACCTGTTGACCTGGACAGAAAGTTCTGCAGGTGCTTGGGACATCCCCTCCCAGCATTCCTGTCCATCGGCCAAGCTGGCAGGAGCTCTGGTGAGTTCCATATATCTGGAGATCTACCTTCTGCCATTTACTAATGTAACTTCAGCCAAAATCTGATTGAAAAATCACCCTCTTTCCCCAGAGAACTCTGGGAGTTGTGGGATCTTCTAAGAGATGCTTCTCTGCTCCTTGAAAAACTGGAAATTCCCAACAATCTTTAGTCTTATTGTGTATGGTCTTCCAGGTATATATACCAAATATATTAGTGAATGGAAGGCTAAGATTTTGAAGAGGATCACTTGCATCCTTCAGGAAGATATTAAAAAACTGCTTGTGCTTTCTAAGATGACTGCTGAAATTCTTGTACTTAGAGGCTCTGGGCAGGGGGGCCAGGTGTCCTAGTTAAGGAGAACCATCTTTCCTTTCAAGGCATCCTCTATATGTGGGTTATTGCCCTTTGTTCAGCCCAACAAGTGTATTTCATTGTAGAATCTCTTGGAGGCTGCATCCCACAATTGGTCAGGGCCAAAATTAACAGCCTATTTTAGCTTAAACCTTTCCTTCTACCAGATAATCCCAAGGAAAGGCATTTCAGCCTTCTGGAATGGGGGAAGAATATTTCTGCAGAGCGACCAGAAAAGCACCAAATGGTCATAGGTGGTAGGGGAGGTCACTCTGGGGAACCGTGGCCTGACATTCTCCACCCCTAGTGAATTGGAAGAGGTGTCCCGTCCTTGCCATCTGGCTTAAAGATAAAAACGAACCAGCAAAGGACATCGGATAGGAAAGCAGGGAACTTCAACCTGCCCTGATCTGGGGAGGTGCCCAAGGGACAAGCTATGCAAGGCACAGCTGATGGCCAGCTCTGCAACGGATGGCCAGATGCCATGTCTAAGGTTGCATCCAGACACATACACCTGCTCTCTGCAATTGCATTCTCCTTTGAGGGTGGGACGATGAGTAACTCACCACTCCAGCTCGGTGCTTCAGCTGTGTGTGAATTCAAACATAAACAGTCTGGAGCCTGGGCCTCGTTCACAAGCTAGAAGTGAGGGAACATTGCGGAAACTCCTGCCGCACCACTGCACATTCAGCAGATCAGGTGGAACCTCCTTTCTTGTGAGACCAAGAAGCGACCTTGACTAAGGTGAAATTGGAAAGGCAAGTGAATCCAGCTTACGGTTCTTCTACATCTCTTGCTTCCCCCAAAATAGAATGCCCTGCCTCCCTAGGCCTGTAGCTATGCCAAATGTTCAGCGAGGGAGCTGCCAGAAAGTAGGGGGCAGGTCATCATTTTCTCAGGCTTTGGGTGCTCAAAAAGGAGGGGGAGGAGAAATTAGGGAAAAGCAAGCCCACCCCTGGCTCCAGGCCTGATCCTCCTGGCTCCCAGAGAAGAAGGACTTTACACACCTCCTGGACAATGCACGTGTGCGTGCATGGGGAGGGGTGGGGGGGGGCACCTAACCGCATTCGCCAGATCATCAATGTTGGTCAACCTTCTTTCAGCATGTTGTAGGCAGGCGGACAAAAGCTTTGCTCTCTCCCAGCCAATCCAAAGTGCAAAGCCTCTTTCAGACCAGGGGCTGAATTCCCATTTTGGATAATTCCTGGAGGCCACACAACTGTCATCGCCAAAGCCAAGGACAAAGAAGGTGGGGCCAAAATTCCAAAAAGAAAAAGGAGCTCCAGAGGGCAATTCTATGCACAAAAGCCCTGCCACTCCTAGCATCCCCGGACCTCCCATGCTGGCTGAGGGATGCTGGGAGTTGTAAGCCTTCTCCCTGTCTAAGCATACATAGGAGCAAGTCCTAAATCCTTTTCTGCCAGCACTTCCCAAGTTCACTAGGAAAGGAACTTGAACCTTTTGGGAAAAGGTTGGATGAAAAGGTAGGAAAGTACCGAATGCTTGGTGGCTGGAGAGAGAGCACTAAGGCCAGTGTGGATGTCCATCTGAAGAAAGCCAGCACGGGGCCTCGGGAAGCTTACATTTGGCTCCATGCCTGATCTTCTTCATTCCTACATTAGATATTGGTGGGAATGCTGGTTTTCTAAGGGCCAGATTAAGCCTCTTGCATGGGCAGATGCCAACCAGCAAGACTGTTTCCCACCTCCTCACAACCATATGCAAAATCTAGTAGAACTTCTATGCATGGCTTAACACCACGGTGCCATGAGAGCCAATCATGCAGGGACATTGTTAAGTTCTAGCAGACAGTGTGGAGAAGCATCGGGCCAGATATGTGTCTGCTACCATGGGCAGCAGGTATGAACGGACTCAAGAATCAGATGAAGACAACACTCAAGTCTGGAGCGGGCAAACTTTCGGGACCATGGGCACAACTGGTCATTTGCGAAACTCTCTTAAGGACCACCGGAAAATGTCTGCATTGCAAGACATGGCAAAGAACAAGCTGCCTGCCCAGGAGAAGCAGGAGAAGGCAGAGGTGGGGCCTGAGTCCCGACGCACAAAACAACTCTTACAAATCAGCTGTTTTCTCGAGAGAGACTATTTCACAGCAATCCTAACTCTGAGTGAATAAGAATGTGCTACTTTTGCTTAAAGTGAGATGGGTAGGGCACCTTGGTGTCCAGGGGTGCGTTGCTGCCAGGCTACTCACGCTAAATGTAGTCCACAAAACTTCATCCCGTGTGACCCTATGCCCCACGTCCCTGATGAGTGGAGGCTCTGGATTCATCCTATGTGCTGAATGAGGAATAGGAAGAGCAGTGTGCCGCTGCAGAAGCTTGCGCCCTGCTTTTTATTTAGATGGCTGTTAAGCACCGAAGAGGGGAGGGGAAGGGAAGGGAAGGGAAGGGAAGGGAAGGGAAGGGAAGGGAAGGGAAGGAGGGGGGACACTGATGGGAACTGGGGTAAGTTCTCAGCTCACCTTCCTGGCACCAGCAGTCCCTTTATGCTCTTCTCTAGGTGACCTCAGGGGAGGCAGCCGGTGTGGTGCTGTCCATGGCAGCTTCAAGGGAGGCAGACCAAAGGAGGCCAAGCTCCAAGAGGCAGCTTCCTGGAGCTCGAATTCAAAATAATCCTGTGCCCCCAATCCTGCCCTCTCACTGTTAAGGAGCCATGGGACTCTTTATGGCTTAAATAGGAAGCTTGAGTAGATGGGCATCCAAGAATCAAGCTGAGCACCTTTTGTGAAAGAGAACACCAGGGAAGATCAAACGAGAAGGACAAAGAGACAGAGAGACTGAGAAATGGAGCGGCTCAAATGCTAAGAACTCACTTGCTCATTTGGCACGTCATGAATGGGCAGGGCACAAAATGAAGGAAAACCGAGGCCAGGAGCTCTTCCAACAGGAAGTGCCTGTTGGAAGTGCCCTTCCAACAGGAAGAGGTAGGTACCAAATTGACTCGCCTATAGAAATGGAAGGCCACCCTTCCCCTCTCCCCAAAACGAAAGCTAACACACTTGCCAACCTCAACCCTACCCTTTTTAAGTCTCTGTAAAAAGGGGCAGTTTCTTTTTGAGAGACTCAAAAGAATACATATATAGCTATAGATAGATAGATATAGATATATATTATCATTTATTATATAACAATGTCAATATCAACACCAAAAAGAAGGGTGGGGGGAGAAAAGAAGAGAAAGCACAAAGTATTTTGTATGAGCGCTCCCCCTGTGTTAAGAAAGGAGGCAAAACTCCCGTGATCCACCTGAAAAACCAAACCACATGAAAAAAGAAAATGAGGGCCCACGTGGGCGGCTGGGTCTGACTGCGGGGGGGCGTGGGAGGGCCGGGCGCCAGGGCAGAGGCATGGGTTGCGTCGCTGATGGCCTCGTGGAGCAAACACGGGGGGGATACAATACCATGGTCTGCCCAGAGGTTAGGCACTGTCCATCTCTCGAGTGCTTGCGCAGGAACATTCAGTTGAAGGAGTCTTGCAAAGCCCTCTGCTCTCGAGGCGAGGGTCCCACACGCACCCCGCAAGCTCAGCCCGGGAATTCTCCCGAGTGACTTGTTAGCTGTTCTCACTCCATTCCGGCACCATGCCCACCCCGTGCACGGGATGGTACTGGTGTGGGGACAGGGTCCGGGGCACCCCGTGGGAATAGAGGAACTCGGCCGGCTGTAGGCTGCTGGGGGGTGACTGCAGGCTTGCTTGCGGGCCACACTGCCGAATGATGGGCTGGTGGGGAACGGAGGCCTGGTGCTGGAACATGACGTGCGTGTCCCCGATCTGCGGCGAGGGGTGGTTGGCGACGGTGGCGAGCCGGGGCATCAGGGGGCCGGAGGTGAAATGGGCCGAGAAGTGCTGGTAGGGGAGCCGGTCCATGGGCTGCATGCTGGCCCCCGTGCAGCTGCTGTAGGGCGGCACGGCGGGCCAGGTGTTGCAGCTGATGTCTTCCAGGCTGGGCACTGGCTCCGTGGCGGGGGTGGAGCTGGCGTACATGCAGGCCTGGCGCTGAGCCGACTCAGTCCTGTAGGCGCTGGTGTTCAGCCCCGGCTGCTGGGAGTAGCTGGAGCGATAGAAGGAGTCGTCCTCCGGAGGAGACGTTTCCATGTAGGGCTTCTTGTATGGGTGCTCCGTGGGAGGACATTCCTCATCTGAGAAGAGAGGCAAAGACACAGTCAAAACGGGGGGTGCTGGAGGGAGCGTGCGGAGCGGGAACTTGGGAGTGCTGAGTCCTGTCCTCCTTTCAGCCTTGAAGAACACTGAGTGACTTCGGCCATTCTCTGACTCTCAGCCTAACCTACTCTCAGCCTAACCCTACCTCCTTCGTTGTGAGGTTTATCGGGACAAGGCCCCACTTCTTTCAAAGTACAGTCTTCTGAGGTTGTTACCTTGGAATCGGAATCAGAGCTGGAAGAAGAGGTGGGACCAGAGCTCTCAATAAGCCAAGATAAGCCAAGAGGCTGGAGGAAGTCAGAGCCACCCGGTTCTGCTGAGCAGGAGCAGCCAGAGGGGGTCGGATGTAGCAGAACAACCCCCATCACCTGGTGCCAGATCCGAGAGCAGGTGGATTGAGTAGTGTCCGCCATTCCTGCCCTCTGGCCCAGATGCAGCGGGAACCAACCTGAGGTGGAGCTGAGAAGGGGATTCCACTTGGACCCAGCTTCTTAGCATGAGCCGTCTTTCCCTGATAGCTGGCTTTCTAATTTGACTGGTGTTTCTTGTTAATGGCTTCTGCAATAAAGGCTGCAGTTAGAAGCCTCTTGTCTTGATCCACTCAGGAATGTGTGCATGTGTAGGTGTGCGTCACCTCCCACAACGAAACAGGAGGAGGTTGGGCAGATGCTGCACTCGTCTCTTCCAGTGATCTCGAGGGGAACACTTTGCACCAAGCAGCTGCCTCTCGGCTCTGCTTAGCATGACTCCAGAGGTCAATATTGGAGAGCTGGCAGAAGACACTCCTCTGTTTGATGGCTTGCCCTGTCCAAGTCTGTCCAAGAACTGCACTCCAAGCCCATGCTCAATTTCATGCACCACTGTGCTCCAGATCTTCTCCTCTATATAGGAACGGGACAGAATCATGACTGACCATCAAGACTAGACTAGAAATCAGTGTGCAGGCTTGGGAATGGGAGTGAACCAGACTGTTTTTGGTCTGTGCCAGTTTTACAGGTATTCAGGGATCATTTCACTCCACCTGTTTCCACATCTGCAGTTAAAACACACATACACATTCACATCCCTTTTCTTTTACGCACATTTTCTGTAGGATTCCCCCCAGTGTGCATTTTTCTGTGCCTCCCCGCCCCCCGATTCGTGTGTGCAATGCTTCAGCCTAGAATGGCACTCAAGAGAAGGGGGCAGCCCAAAGAGCCACGGCATTCAGAGCCACACCTTGAGATCAAGAGCTGCTCCTAAACACGCTCTCCAAACAGAATTGCCCTTCATGCATCCTTCCCAGAGATCGGGTGACTTGAATAAAAATAGGGCTGACCCTATTTATTGCATACCTTCTGCAATCTAGTGCCCTCCAGATATGTGGGACTCCCAGAATGGGAGTTGTAGTCCCATACCCCTGGAAGCTCCCAGCTTATGGAACTCTTGGCTCATAGAGTAGTGACATATGGAGAGCCAGAGGGGTGGGGTGCTCTGTTCTTTCACCCTTCCCGAAATGCTACCCCTGCTGTGAGATCCCAGAATGCACAAAAGTGTTCCACTGCTAGAAGTGATTGTGGAAGCGGCAGCTAAACTGGAGAGGGGCTCTTCTCCTTTCTTGTGGCTCTTGCGATGGGAGGCTGGCATGCTCTGGCAATAGAGACAGACCTCCAGCCTTGCTTGGGGTCGGTAATGGTGATGGTAATACATGCTGTCACACCAGGAACAACAGCAGAAGGATGGGCATTGTCTGAAAAACAAAGGGGCAGCCAGTGAATGAAATGGAAGGGAAAGGCTCTTTGAAGAGCACAGCCTGGGAATGCAGACAAACTCCCTCTGGTTTTGGTTGCAGAAGGACACTCTGGACGGGTGCATGAGACAGCATGCAGGTGGTAGACAGAATGGACGAGAACGATGCAGACTGGGGGACTGTGCATTTGTGCGTGTGTGTGCAAGTGTGTGTGTTTCATGCTCCTCTGTGTAAAATAATCTATTTCCTTTCATAGCACAAGAGTCAAAGGGGCCGGGCTATAACCTTTTGCCTGTGCTAGTTTTCTTCTTGCAGTGGGGTATTCCCCGTGAAGGAATAATCCACAGATGAAATCCTGCACTGCAGGGATGCTGTCCATTTGACCAAGACTATGGATCCACCAAGATGGTGCGCTCATGAATACCTCATATTCATGTTGATGGAAGTGTACTTGCTGTGCAAAGACTTAAAAAAAATTAGCTTCCTCCAAAGAAAAGTCTGTGTGTGTTTTGAAGGATATGCTGTTATTATTAATCACATTTCTGTTCCACCCGTAGCTAAAGCTGTCTGCGTAGTTCACAACATAAAGTCCCCCATCCTGATTTCAACCAGGTCTGAGCCTGCTTAGCTTCCAAGGTTAGGCAGGATCAGACACTTCAGGCTATACTGGAAGCATGGCACTCACTGGATACATCAGAGGTCTGGTGGCCAACTGAGCCCTATGCTTCAGGCAGGGAAGGGTGGTGGGTCGCACATCCCCCTCTGGTGCCCACACAGCCACCTGTTCCTTGATGCCACCTGCCATGGCGACTTGCCTCTGGCTGCCAGGCCACCACCTCCAGCCCTGTGAGGTTTGCCTGTGCAGCATCCATGGGGCAGTGAACTCTGCACATCTCGATGTCCAGGCCCTCACTGTGACCATTGCTGTCCCTACCACATCCCAGTCGAGGTCCCGGAATATAGGCAGCTGTGTGGATCCGTATTACTATGCACTTCCCCATTCCAGCAGGAGAAGGTTTCCTGCAATGCTCATGGGTCTTCACTGCCCATCCAAAACCAAGCCAGCCCCAAATCCTTTGCGTCACATTTTGCTATGGCTGGGAAAATCCATTTGGTGCCTGCAGGACAAATCCTCTGCTCTTATGCAGAGTGTCCACAAGGCCTGGCTCCTTCCACAACCACACAGCTCTTCCCGAAGTGCGAAAGCAGCCATGCCTCACTCTTGCTCAACAAAGGAAAGACTCTTCGGCCGAGCTGCTGAATGTGGCTCATTCCCACACGCTCCAGTGTGACCATTCCACAGGTCCCACAGTGCACTCTGCCTTTCCTCTGAACCCATGCATGCTTTTAACTTTCCAAAGTGGCAGGCCACCTTTGCTTTATCCAAGAGGGTGCAGAAAAGCTCAGCAAGGCAAGTGCCACTCATGGGATGGAGATGCCCCACTCTGGATTTCTGAAACAATTCAGAAAGAAACTGTCGGGACACAGATTCTTTGTGCTTCAAGCATGTGGCAGCTTGGAGAAACAATCTCCTTTGCCGCCCACTGAATGATTGCTGCTGGAGAGATAGCAAGGAGACGAGGACCCCTTCCCTCTTCGCCATCCCCTGGGGCCGGGCACGCCACCGGTGACGGGCAGGCCAGGCGGTGCTCCATGCACAAGATAGCCCTCCAGACTGCGACAATGCAAGGAAACTAGATAAAGTGGGTGAGGGGAGAGGAAGGGAAGCCACCCACTTAGTGGGAATCCCAATAACTGGAAGGAAGCCTTTTGCGATTCGTTTATCTCCTTGCAATGTTGAAGACGGATGATGGATGGCCATCATGTTGCCAGGATACTCTGCAATCAGAGTTTGCCCCACCCTTTAGTTACAAAGCTCCTTTGGGGTGTGCTGGGGAAGAGGAGGGGCCGGTGGCTAAACCAGGACTGGGTGCATATAGGACAGGGGTTCCCATCCCGGGATGCCCGCACCCCCAGGACTGGGTGCATCAAAGAGGAAGGCTGCATCACAAGTCTCAAAATTGGTGAATCGTGACGCTTTACACCAAAATTATCCCAATAAAAATTATTTATTGTTATTTTGTTTGCATTTGGACTCGGTTCTCTTCTGTCCATCAAGACAAAATCTAGGAATTGCCTGAATTCGCAGGCAGATTTGAGGACTATCAAGCAAGTTCCACATTTTGACAAAATTGTGAATGAGACGCAGGCAAAAAGAAGTCATTGGATTTGATGTTCATAATTGGGATTGATTTTACTGTTTACATTTTTTTTCTGATTGCTTAATTTATATTTGAATTTATGAACTGAGTTAAAAGCTTATTTTTTGAGTCAGTTTGTTTACCCACAGCACTGTATATGGTTCATTTTTTGGGTGAAAAATTAGACATTTGACTTCTTCAATTTCAAATGTGCCACTCCTTTTGTAGGGGGTGTGAACATAAAACAAGCATTTTCTAGGGGTGGGGAATAGAAAGGTTGGGAACTGCTGATATACTCGTAGAAGGACATCAAACCTGTGGACATTTACCATCCCATAAACTTTTTCTGGGGTATGAAATACTGGACAAAAGCTGAGATGTAGATAAACTCTGGTTTTCCTATGAAGGGGAGGTCAGGGGCTTTAATCTCCCAATCCTACTCTTATCTCATAGATGGCATTTAGGGAGAGGCAGGTAGGGATGTGTCCTCCAAGAACTTTTATGCTCCATTCAGGGAGGCAGGAGAGAGGGGCTTGCATGGTGTGAAGTTCGTGGAGAGGGAACAGTTCTCCTAGCTGGTCTATAATATTTGATTGGTTGTCCCATGAACCTGATTGGTGGAGGAGTCAAGTCCGAGAACAGAAAAGGCTTCTTCACACAGCGCAGAGTTAAACTCAAGATGGCGGCCAACACGGATGGCTTCAAAAGCAGATTGGGCCAATGCAAGGAGGAGAAGGCCTCTGATCCTGATGGCTCGATGCAGCCGCCAGTATTAGAGACGGTTTGCCATTGTGCACCAGGTGTTGGGGAGCATGGGTGGGAGGGTAATACTTTCTTGTGTTCTGCTGGTGGGTGACAGTCCCCTTTATGCCCTCAGGGGATGGCTCTTTTAGAAGGACCTCCTGCCCAGACCTTAACGGGCAGTTAGCCAGCTCCCAAGCTGCATTTTCCCTTGCACACTCCCTGTCCAATGTTTAACCTAAGGTAACTCGGGTTTTTGTGATATCCTTTGCACAACACGAACTATGAGCAAGGCAAGAGAGGAAGTGAGAGGTCCAACCCGCTTCTGCCATTTGCTCACAGCCAGTGTGGAGAGAACTATACCAGCTGGCCACCAAGGTCACAAAATGGATATCAGGGGGTGGGGGGAGGCGTGTTCCGGGGAGCAGAGAGGGGAAGAGGCTAGGGAGAACTGGATGGGAGCTATCCCAGCCCTCGTTCCGCCTCCTTCCCTTCTCCTCCTTCCAAAGCCCTGTGGTTAGATGGGCAAAACGCTTGTCTAGTGAAGACCAAACAGGAGAATGGGAGAGGCGGAGGTCGGCTCATATTATTATTATTATTATTATTATTATTATTATTATTACATTTTTATACTGCCTATAGCCAAAGCTCTCTAGGCAGTTGACAGAAATAATCATAGAATCATAGAATCATACCTGGATAGCCACTGGATGCACGGGAGTCTCTGAGTTTGGAGGCATCCACTGAGCATGGGCACCACCCACAGACCACCCTATGATCCTCACAATAATATAAATGGGGGGGGGCTACAAAAATATTGTTGAAGAACAATACTAATAAGAACATAAGATCACTCCTGTGGGGTCGGGCCAAGGCCCACCTTGTCCTCCATACTCAAGGCAGTGCCACAACTCTCCTCCTCTTCTCCATCTGATCCTCAAAACAACAACCCTGTGAGGTAGGCTGGGCTGAGAGTCTGTGACTGGCCCAGCGTCACCCAGTGAACCTCCTTTGGCAGGGAGTTCCTCAGACCAGGGGCATCCACCAAGCAGGCCCCTGTCATTTCCCCAGCAACCAAACCTCGGATGGTGCCAGCAGCAAACAGCGCTTCCACCACAGATCTTGAAAAACCCTGGCAAACTTGTCTGGGACAAGGTAGTCCTTTTGGTCTAAATACTACGCTTCAATTATACTTCTCTTCCTTTTTTATACCATAGGCAGTAATGGATCCTGCTAGATTTATGGTTTTCAGAAAAGAAGAAATAGTATTGTTGTTTAGTTGCAAAGTCATGCCTGACCCATCATGACCCCATGGACAACTCCATGGACAACAACAATATTAATAAATAAATAATAAATAATATTATCTTTGCCAAATATATACCCAACTTTAGTTCCTTCAACTAATTACCAATAACATTTAAGATTTAGGCTGCCTTTTTATTCAAAGACATTCAAATCAAGTTTCAAGGCAGGTGGGAATCGCCAAACTTTGAAACTTCCTTCTGGCTCATCCCTTGCATCCCTTTTCCATCCAGCTATGCATCCAAACGGTTTGAGAAGCCTGCATAGTCTCTGGAAATAGCTGTAAATTTCACCCCTCCAAATAACCTTGCATTAGCTATTTAAGCATTGGAATTAATCCCCAATCCTTTCTAGAGGCCTCCCGGGCTGATAAGCTATCTTCCTCCGAGGCACCAGTTATCTTCCTCATGTGGATTCAGCTTCTATGGGACTCGCGGGCACCTCTCTGTGTTTCATCTGTGCAGACTTTGGTAATGCGTCTTGAAATGGTTGGAATGGCGGCTGATACGGAAGCTTGTCTGCCGGACAGCATCCGAAGCAGAAGTACAGGGGGAGAGGGAAAGAAGCGGAACGAGTGAGAGCGCAAGCTGGGGAAGAAGCGGATCAGGGAGCTGGCCTGGCATTCCATTCCTGCTGCAAACTTACGTTCTCCCTCCTTCTCTTGCCTTGGAAACTCAGTGGAATTTTCTTCTCTTTCTTTTCCTGAAAACATTTTTCTGGGTTTTAATTTTTCTCCCCACAATCTACAGAAAAGGAAGTCCACCTCTCGGGCTTTTCTGAGATTATTCTCTACCAAGCCCCTGTGCACAGAAGGTTCTAGAAACAGGCAGCTATTTATGCACCTCCGTAAAAGAGGAATTGCATTAAGAAATGGACACCAGTGCTGTGGCACATGGGCGAGAGTGTGGTTTTCCCATGGTTGGACTGTGGGGTTAGATGATCCGGCAAGGCTCTTCTTATGTGTTTAGGTGCAAATTTACAAGCAGTGATGGCTATTTTAATAGGAGCGCAAGACATCTGAGCAGAGAGAGGAATAGCGATTGGGAGAACTGAATTTGGGACTCTGCTCACATGCCGAGGAACTTCAGGGCCCTTGGCGAGCTCTGGCTTCTTAGGGTTCTTTGACTTAAGCCAGGCTTGGATTACATCATCCATCAAGTAGGACATTATCAAATAGTGAGTGATGCTTTGTCGTTTCCAAACTAAAGAAAGGCTAAATTACGCTGAATCCTAAGCAGGGCTACAAGACTTCACTGAAACGAACTTCAGGCTAAGGGTGGGAATTCAGACTAAGCCGTGCTGTAGGCACAGTGAAAGCAGCGGGATGAGTTACAGTCACAGTGCCAGCAGTGTGGTTGATGGTGGCATCCGAGGGCTGGCATCAACCACGGGCTCAGCTAGGACACAGAGGCCCCAGAAACAAGCTGAAGCTGCAACATCCCACGGCTGAATTTATTCTGTGTACAAGAGTTTTTGCACGCAGACAGGAATCCACGTAACTGGAAGCTTGGAAAAATGCACAGAGCTCTGCTTATCTATGTACATTATTCTTATACTTGTTCTTGCTGTTTTGATTGTTGCATAGCTTAGTAAGCTGGCAAATTTGGACATGTGTCCCAGCTAAGGAGGCGGCGTAGCTAAACTACAGTTAAACTATGGAATTCAGTGGAACTGGTGGTGGTTGCCAATCTGGATGGCTTTGCAAAGGGACTGGCCAGATTCATGGGGGAGGAGGCCATCAGTGGCCACGAGCCTTGCTGGCCATGGGCTCCCTCCTTTCCCAGAGGTTGCCTGCCTGCACACACCAGTTGCTGGGGAGCTTGGGCGGGAGAGGGTCTTGCACCCAGCCTGCTTGGGGGATCTGTGGGCAGCTGGTTGCTATTCTGTGTACGGAGGGCTGGACTGGATGGACCTTGGGTCTGACTTAGAATGACTTTCCTTATGTTCTTATGTTCACAGCCTTTCCATGAAGGGCAGAGCATCCTTTAATGGGGCATGGTCTCCCTGTACACTAGGACAGGTGGCCACGTCCTTCCTTTATAGAGGCCAGTCCTTCATTTTAAGGAAAATGATCTTCTTGAAGGCATCCTTTATCGGAGGGGCTTTCTAGCCCATGTCAGGCTGGCAGATTAAGAATCCCGAGAAGGAGGAGCAGGACACGGACCGTGAAGTTGTCCATCAACAGGCAGCCACACTGGGACAGAAAACGAAAGCGGGACCTGGCTGGGCACAGCCTTCCCCACTGTGGGCAAATGGCCTGCATTTATGCAAAGGTGACAGCCGTATCACCCCTAAAAGTAGCACATACCATTTTTATGTAAATCCACAGCTTTTGGGGGGGTGGGGCAGAGACATGTGGTACAGTCCTCCCGGACTTCTCCCTGCCTGCCGTCTGTGCGGCAAAAACGCTCCGGTGTGCGAAGAGAGCCTTTCCACAAGCCAAACCCTGCGGAAGAAGCATTGAGCTCAAAGCGACTGACCTTTTCTCTTGGTGCAGTGGTAAATCTGGCTGTGCTCCTGCGGGACGGGGTACGGGTTGGCAGGCGGCAGCAAGTCCTGGGAGGTGCTGGAGACGCCGTTTTCGCACTGGAACTGAGACCCGAGGTTAGACGAGGCGGACAGCGCCCGTGCCTCGCCACTGAAGGGGCTGTGGTTGGAGGTCACTTTCTGCCGGACCGTGCTCCTGGGAACCACTGGATACTCTTTGCTGGAAACACACACGCACGCCAGAAGGTGGCTCGTTAGCAGCGGGGCCTCCACCGGGTTCACGCTGCCGTCGCCTGGCGAGCTGTGGGAGCCACTTTTCCACCGCCAGGACCAGGTGGCTGTTTCTTAGTGAGAGGCCTGGCCACTGGGGTGGGGGGCAAAGCCAGGTTCCTGGCAAGTCAGACCCCTTCCTTCTCCCACTTCCTGCCCCTCTCCGACTTGAGGCTGGGCATCATCCTGGCCAAATGGCCCTTAGCTGGGGTGGCTCTGAACAACGGCAGCGCATTGCTCCAACCCGTTGTTCTCTGAGGCTTTTCCCACCATGCCTGTCTTCTTCCAACACACCTTTCCCCATTTCTGGGGCCTCACATTGCGGCCTGAGTCATGAGAAGTCCATCTTCTCCTCAGCATTCGCTCAGCATTTCATGGCCTCCACTCATGTCCAGCGCTGACTCTCTCCTCCCCATTCTATTCTTACCAGGACAACTTTCCCCAGTCAGGTCCCCTCCAGATGTTTTGGACCACAATTCCCAGCATTCCTGGGGCTGGTGGTAGCTGCAATCCTAAACCTCTGGAGGACACCAAGCTGGGCAAAGCTGTCATGCTGTATTTCATTCCCTAAAGGTTTGATTTTATTCTTGTTATCGCCAAAGTGCTACGAAGGAGGTTCCCCCAAGACTGCCGAGAGCTCCTTCCCCCATGGAGAGGGATGCGGTCCTCCTGGCTTCATAAGATCAACCCTCACACCGCAACATCGGGAATGATTTCTTAATACAGACTGCAAGGTTTAGCTGACTCATTTCTTAGCCTAGCTGTTGAAAAGGGGGTTGGATGCGCTCCAAAAGGACGCCCAATTAATTGGCCAGCGGTTTCATGTTCATATTCAACATAAAAAAATAGATTCTTAATAAAGAATCCAACTTGGAATGTTTCTTAGCAGAGTAACATGTCAGAAGGCAGAGAAACGGAGGCAAGAGAAGGGTGGCGGGGAGCAGCTTGGTGAGGGGGTAACAATTGACATGCAGGAAGTCCCAGCTTTTATCCCTGGCATCTCCAAGAAAGGCTGAAGCGTCAGCAGCACTGGACTCGATGGACCGATGCGTGGACTCATAGAAAGCCTGCCTCCCAGAGCTCCCACCAAGTTACCACCTTTGCTAAGCTGGAAAGATGTAGGCCTGCAACTAGATGGGTGACCACACTCACAAACTCCACTCTCACAGCTCTGTGCTACAGAAGGTCCCAGGTTTGATCCCCAGCAGATCCGGGGTGGAGGGGGGGGGCCCTCCTTCCTGAAGTCCTAGGAGAGCTGCTGCCAGTCTGTGCTGGCAAAACTGAACTGGAGGGCCCAGTTTGACATGACACAAAGCTGCTGCCTCTGTGGGAAGGCAGCTCTAGTGTGACTAGTCGAGGAGGGGAAGGAGAGGGGGTCCATCATATGGTTCCCAGCTGTGCTGTCAAAGTCCTGAGAATGGCTATCGTCTCCCGAAACATCGCTTAAGGAAAAGGGATATGCTCTGGACCTATAAATATATATACAAGAAGAGATAGAGCATTTATATCAATTAGAAACATGTGGTCTTTTGTGTCTTTGGAGAGGCAGCGCTGCTCCGGCACTGAGCCACTACCACTGCGCACTCCTTGAGGAGCCCGGAATCCAGAGTCCGATTGCTCCATTTACGTCAGGGGCCAGTTGGAGCCAGCGCGGGCCACCTGTTCACAATCGGGTCTCGTTTCGGGTTCTGCTTCCGGCAAAATGCCCGCCATTTAGGCGCTTTCGCCATCAGACTGAGCTTGTGCTGCATCGTTTTTGCAGAGACAGAATCGGTCTGAATACGTTCCAGTCGATCCTGCTTTGAATTTTTTAAAAGAGGCAATTAAAAAAAAGCTGAGGTGATAAATGGTATCAGTTTCAATTGAATAACTGATGAGATTAATGACTGATCGTGTCCTCTTAGCTACCCCACCATGAAAAGATATGCCAGATGTCAACTGAAGTGCGGGAGGAGGCTATTCAACCCAAAGTGATACTTACATCCTCACACCTGGGGGGGGGGGGGGAATTTGTCCTGCGTTCCCCACAAGCCTAGTCAAAACAGCAGCAGTAGCAGCTGCAACATTTCAGAGATTATGAAAGACTTTAACATAATGTCTGCCGTGCAGAGCCAGTGTTGCCTAGTGGTTAGAGTGTTAGACTGGGAGTCAGAGATCTGGGTTCTAGGCCCCCCATTAAGCATGACGCTCCCTGGCTGACCTGGGACCAGTCAGTGACTCTTAGCCTAACCTACCTCACAGGGATCTTAGCAAGGACAAAATGGAGAGGAGGAAGACCATGAACAAGCCACGCATGTGTGTTCAGCCAGAAAAGGTCCTGCAACCAGCACCATTCCCTAGGAATCTGAAGGCATTTTCAGTGGTGGCCCCAAAACTGTAGAATGAGATAGATCCCCATGTTTTCATAGGTAAATTTCTTTGGTAAATGTCCTTCTTTTTTCCAAAGCTGTTCTGTTTTGCTTTGTTTTTTAAAGGCTCTTAGAGGGGCAGCCAAAGATTCCCCAAATGAGCCCCTGTCCTTGGGCTTACAACCAAATTACATAACACAAGCAAAATGAATTTGGGGGAATGAAGAAAAAAGCAGGCTCGGGCACCCGTTCTTGGTTGCAAGATCGCGCCCAGAGAGCCTGCTCTGCAACAACAATCCTGGGTGGATCTCCAAGGAACAATTCAGGGGATCTAATCCTGCAGAGCAATCAAGTCAGCAGCGTGCCATATCTGAGCAGTGACCTGCACTAAGAACATTTCAGCAAACTGTTCCACCACAGTCCTGGGCAAAAGCACAGTGTTCGGGTATTTTTTAGCCAGGAAACAGGAAGTATTGCTTAGTAAAGGGGGACTGTTAGTGGCTACGGCTGTGTGGTGAAGGATAATGGGTTTGTAACTCCGTCAGAACAAGACTCAGCTTTGTCCCAGGCAGACTGCGAGAGGGGAATTAGTGCTGCGGCAACTGGGAAAATGATTTGTAAAACTGATCAAGCCCCGCAATAAGGAAAATTCAGCCTCTGGGCAGAGAACCGCATCCAATAAGCTGCTTCTGTGACAGCCACAGATGGGGCAGCGACCACATTGTCTGAAGGGCAAGGAAACGGAATCAGAGACACCCAGTAGTTGTTGTGTCCTGAAGCCTGCCAGGACACGGGTCAGGCTGACCTGGCAAGAGAGAGCAGCATATTTGCGCCCTTTCAGAGTTTCCATAACTGCTCCCAGAAGAAAGGAAAATCAGATGGAAGAAAGATGTGACACGGGGTGGATCGTTTCCCTCGCCGGCGACACCCAGACATGTATGCATCTCCGTGTGTGTGACTGCATGGAAAATTCAGAATAAAGGGGTAAACTAGGAGCAGGGATGTAATGGTGACTATTGAAATGCAGGTGCTCACTATGGGAATCCTCATTCTCATAAGAGAGGGTCAACATGCTTGCTACTCTCTGGATTCACACCAACAAACCCAACCCCATTCCAGCAGTTTGCATCTAGGCCAGCACGGACCTGTTGCAAAATGCATGAGACTGAATGGCCCGTTCAGGATCACCCCCTTGTTAATGCAAAGCCACAGGGAGTGGTACCTTTTGCTGAGGAAAAGGGCTTCTCCTCACTCCTATGGAGATGGCAGGAGATCTGAGGGGACAGAGAATCGGAGGCGGCTGGCAGGTGATCTCGGCATCCCTGCTGATGAACAAATGCACACCCGAACCCTAACCCCCCACCCCGGAAAAGCCCTGAGTGTATCGCACCACTGAACACATGCATAAAGTGGTAAGGTATGAAAAACAAATCGAAATTCTAGGCTGTGGTGATGCAACCGCAACACTTGGGGGAAAATGTGCAGTGCAACACCTAAACGTATGTAGATACGTAGGATTTTTCTAATTTTGGAATGCATTGCCAACAGTGCGCTGATGCCATGCAGCTCTATTTGTCCTTTGCATCATCAGCGGGTGAGGTTGTGGATGGGCTAATTTAATTTAATTTAAACATTTCTATGCCATCCTTTGCAACAAGCCTCAGGACAGCTTACAGAAGATTTAAACAAAAACAGCTAAGCCAGTGCCTGGTTGCAAGAATGGACTGGATGAGGGCCAACAGACTGAAACGCGGTCCAGACAAGCCAGAGATGCTGCTGTCATGCGGTCCTTTGACTGGATGGCGGGTTCAGCCTATTCTAGATGGGCCGACACTCCCCTGAAGGTGCGGGTTCATAGCTTGGGGTGCTCCTCAGTCCAGCTTTGCCGCTTGAGGCGCAGGTGGCCTCGGTGGCTTGGAGCATCTTCCGCCAGCTTCGGCTGGTGGCCCGGCAGTGCCCCTGCCTGGATGGGGATAGCAATGGTGATCTCTACACCAGGTTACTGCAATGTACTCTGTGTGGGGCTGCCCTTGAAGACGATCCAGAAACTTCATTTGGCGCAGAATGCTGCTGTCAGATTAATTACTGCAACCTGGTGGCCCAAGCGCATAAGACCGGCTTGCATTGGCTGCCGATCAGCTTCTGGTCCCAGTTCAAAGTGCTGGCCTCTGACTCACGGCTTAAGACCTCGATAGGTGCCAGAGCAGCTCTCCCAGCCAAAACCTCCCTGGGTGCTACTCCCACCCTCGGGCGCGTTCTTCCAAGAGCCCCCTGCAAGGGAAGCACTGAGAGTGGCAGCAAGGGGCGGGGGGGGAACTCTCTTGGTGGTGGCCCCCCATCTATGGAACAATTTCCCCACAGTGGACCAGCTGGAGTCAAAACTGTCGCCTTTTCAGCACCACCTCAAGAAAGCCCTTTTCTCTGAGAACTTGAGACTTCTTTGGCCACCGGGGGGCTTGGGGAGACTCACCCAATGTTTCACAGAGTCAGCTCTTCTGCCATCCTGTGCTATTGTCTGTTTTTAGCACTTTTATTTTTCCCCTCTTATAATAGCTTTACTGCATTTTCATTGACTGTTTTTATGGAGTGTTGTAAGCTGCCCAGAGAGCTTCAGCTGTGGGGCAGTGTAGAAGTAAAATAAATGATTATGATTTTTCATGATTCTGGCTTGGCTTGCTCCCAGGACAAGCGACATTGAATACGGAAGCCTCTGCCTTGCATCCAGAAAACTCCCTCTTGTGTACCCTTCCAGCCCCAAAGATGCGAGCAGGCATCAAGCTCTGACTTTAAAGCTTGTCCTGATATCCTAAGAAATATAAACTAAAACCAGATGAACCAGGCTAGCTGCACTCCTTATCACTTTCACATCTAGCCACAGACAAATCTGCTCCATCTCATTTCCGGTTAATTTATCATGAAAAAAGTCTGTATTCATGTAACCAAATACATTATTTGTAAAACATGTTCTTTCTCCAAACACACTTTTGTAAATACATTTTGATAGATTTTTGAGGAAGACCACATGTGGAAACATTTGGGCATCATGAATGGTTGTAGATAATCCACTGGGCACACACCTAGTGCAAAAGGTGTGGACTGGGTGAATTTTCATTGGGAGATAGAAATACTGCACTCTTTTAACAGCCGTACTAGAAATATGCTCTTTGTCTCCAATCCAGACCTGAAATTGCCAGGTAGCTGGATTCTGCATAACTCATCATGTTCTGCATGTTTTCCAGTCACTCACGTAATATTCTTCAATACACACAGCCAGAAAGTAGAGAAAAGTACTATTTAGGGACAAAGGATAATTATGCCATAGTACCCCTGCACCCACTGCTTGTAAAAGTCACTTTCGAGAAGTAGGACCTTTCGTTCCCAAAGCCAGGAGCTCTCTTTCAAGTGCAACAGATATTCTGGATGTGAGCAGCTCAAGTCCACATGGGTATTCTGGAGCAGGGAGAGAGAGACTCCAGGGGTTATCTGCGCGCGCGCGCGCGCACACGCTCTCTCTCTCTCTCTCTCTCTGGCTTTTCCTCCCAGTAAGAACATATTAATGGTGGTGTCAAATCAAACCAAACCAAAGGCTTATCTAGTCATATTCAGTTCCCAGCCTGGTCAACCAGATGTATATGGGGAACCCACATGCAGATGGATTTCCTGCAGGTTCTCGTTTGCTAAGATGGCACCATCCTTATTCCATATTGGATAATGACACCAACTGTTGGGGAACTGCATGGTTCCCACCCCCAAATCCCCATAAATAAGTATCCTTTGAATGCTCTCCTCAATAGATATGCACAGCGAATGGAAAGCACTGTGTACTAGGAAAAGAACGAGAAGAAATCAGCTCCAGAAGGGCATCTCCTGGATTTTATCACCTGTAATAAATTGCTAGTCACTGGGCCCACTCGGAAATCTGTAACAATGCATATAACATATGCTGTTGTTTGCTTTCCCCATAAATCTTTCCCACAAACAATGGATAGGCATGGGGGTGCTGCAGCAATGCGAGCCGTGTGTGTGAACTACCATTTCACACTGCTTTGGAGCTTTATGCCTGCACACACACAAACACACCGAAAACTTTCACCGGATGCCATGCATCACAGTCATGTGAATGCTCACCACTTCGAAACAGAAACTCTAGTGAAGTGCGACTCCAGGGGCAGCGGGAGCAAACTGAGCTGGGCGACGGCACAGATATCAGCCAGTTAGTAGTACAACTGCACCACCTGCTCCTGCTGCAAAGGTTCCAGGGCCCATTTTCAAAGAGCTCAGCTTGCAAAGCCATTCGGGTACTCCATGTAGATGCACTCGGGGGGGGGGGGCTATGAGGGCACCGCTGAAAGCAGATGTCCACCTTTGTCTTCCTGGAGAACATCTGTGAAGGGCTTACCTTTGCATCCTGGACATTCTGTGCAGCTCCATATCATCGCTGCCTCGAAATCCTTTTGCAAAAGGGTTGTTCTCGATCTTGAGCTGGGTGATCTGAAAGGAGGATGTGCAAAAGAGTCAGCGCTTCATGTATTCTAGCTGCAAAGCCACCAACCTGTCCGCCAAAGGGATTCACGGAGGACAAACAGGGAGGCCTGTAATGAGGAAGCCAGGCGTGGCATCTTTGCATGTCGCCAGAGTCAGACCCCCACTTTTGTTGTCACTAAGGGGCCACAGCGGTGGACCGCAGCTCCCAGGCACAGGGCACGGAGTGAGCCCACAGGCGGACTGAACCTCTCGGCTTGAAGACCTTTCTGGAGAAGCTCTCGGGGGCATGTTCCATGAGCACGTGAAGCTAAAAGTGAAAGGACCCCAACACCTGCCCGTTCCAGCTTGCAGGTCTTGCTGCCCGTAACTGAACCTTAGACGTGGCACGTGCAGCTTTTAGAATCTGGGGTGGGAGGAATTGCGCAAGAGCTGGGAAACTAAAAATGACTGGCAGGGGGATGGGATGGGTCCAGGGAGTGGCAGTCTTTTAACCGGGCTGGTTATGGGGAAGCAGGGGTGTTGTTACACCTGGACTCACGAGACTCCAGCTCCAAATCTGTTTGCCACAGCTCCACGTCTGTTCCCCGCAGCCCATTACTGCCAAACCATGGGGCTTTCCTCTGCCCCTCATCAGCCTTAGCTGCCACGTAGGGGAGAAATTCCAGGGAATCACACTGTGGGAGCGGCTGTAGATCCAAATCCCCAGCCCAAAATGAGAAGCGCTGTCATGGGACAACACAGCTGTTCTTGTGACCATGTGCCTCTGAACATATGCAGAGTGTGGATGTGACTGTTTTCTTCCTGACAAGAAAAGAAAAATGCCCATGTGGAGCAGCTTCTACCCACTGGGGTTTTGCTTGGGAAGGCAGAGGAACTAAGCCAGAATGGAGTTGGTAACCTTACACCAAATTGTTTTCCTTATGTTCTTCAGGTTTGGAAGGAGTTGACCTGTCTGGTATAGAGACTACCTTGCAATGCAAGAATGGTCTAAGAAAGTACAAACTTCTTCTAGCAGCAGTTAGAATGCCTTGTGCATCTGCGGAAGCTTGGCAACTGACCGTTATTTTCTTGGTTTGGCTGGTAAAAACACATACTGGCGGGAAACCAGAATAGGTTCTGAAAAATGAATAAGGTTGTAAAGAGAACTGCTAAAGTAGGCTTTGGTACTGATTCCACTCCAAGATTCCAAAGGTTCTCCCTAGGTAGGCATTTTGAATTCTCAGTTCAGCTGCCATAACTTGCGCAGCCTGGTTCCCACAACCCAATAACCCAGAGTACAGGATGAGCATGGGTTGCCACTGAATCACAGGCTGCCGTGTTCTATGCACGTAGCCATCCTAACAAACCACAAACAGGCCAGAGTTTACAAACAACAAACCATGGATTCTTTTCATGCATTGTTCAGCTATCTACCTGCCATGGCTCAGTCAAGGGTGAGTTGCACATTCTTTGTATGCAATAGGTCTCAGGTTTGATCCCCTCCACGTAGGGAGGAAAAGTTGCAGCCAGTCAGTGCTGGCAGTACTGGCCTAGATGGGCCAAGCGTATGACACAGTTTAAGGCAGCTTCATGTGTTTAGAATGGACATGTATAAGATTGTGCATGGAATCCCACGCACACAGACGTGGATGCAGGTTCTGCAGGTCTGGGGAAGGGCTTGCTTCTGAACATACATGCTTCACTTTGCATTACTGGACTCTTATCGGTCTGGCTGGCGGGGAAGATGGAGCAAATGAGCCTAGCACACCCAGCCACCCTCACTGCAAAGAGGGATTCACTGCAGGGTGGCCTTCGTCCTTGCTGCTACTCTGATCCCTGGACCTCGCCAGCTCTACAACCCCACGTTTTTACAGCCACAGCATTTTCTCTGAGACGTCTCTGTTGCATTAAGTTGCTTCCCGGCTGGATCAAAAAGGGGGGGGGGGCACTTTAGATGCCTTTCCTCAGAAAAAATGCTGGCCAGTCAATTCAAAAGTCCATCCATCTCTGGAAAGGGGAAACCCACCCCCCCCGGCAGGGGTCATCTTCTTATCTCCTCCCCACAACACACACACACACACACACACACACACACGCGCGGTCTCTGCAATGCACCCCATCTCCAACAGACAATGAGCCAGCCAGAAAGTTGTGGGGAGCAGGGAGACTGCAGGCTCGCCTCCGCCTGACCTGGCTCTCTGCCCCGGCCGTGCTCCAGGCACAAAGAAAGCATTTCGTTGTGCCTCTTTCCTGGCCCGGCTGTCATTTACCTTGTGATTCTGGTAGGAGGTCACTGCGATAAAAGCCGTCTCCGGAAAGACGTGGGTGCAGAAGGCAGTGTTTTTGGAGCCGAAGCCGTTGTTCTCGTCCGCTTTGACGATATGGAGCCGGGGCTGGTATTTGTGCATGGAGTTGAGAATGATCTGGAAGGGAAGAAGAGCAGGGAGCTGTCAGGGGCAGCATGGGTGGAGGAGCTACAGGAAGAGGTGCACACACTGAGTTCATCTCTTATTGTTCTATTTAGGTCCCTCTTTTTTCAAGCGAGGCAGCCTACACGGTTGCCCTCCTCTCCCGTTTATCCTCACAACAACCCTGTGAGGTAGGCTAGGCTGAGAGTCAACGACCGCTCAAAGTCACCCGCTTAGCTTCATGGCTGAGTGTGAGACTAGAACCGGGGTCTTCTGAACCGCAGTGCCATACTAAGTACCGCAACATTCAGTATTGCACAAATTCAGGTGTGTGTGTGCACACCACCTGCTGAAGATTTTCTAGAACAGGTGCCACATATATTTCAAGCTATGCAATCCAAGGGACAGTTCTGAGGGATTATGATCCACTCACACATACATTATGTACGCTGGGACTTATCTCTGAGCAAACATGCATAGGAACACTTTTTTCCCTTGACCTCCCAATATTTATTTATTTTATTTATTAAAACATTTCTATGCCGCCCCTTGCCGAAGCCTCGGGGCGGCTCACAACACAAAATAAAATACAATAAAATACAAAAGTAACAATATAAAATTAACAATATAAAATAAATAACAATATAAAAGAAGTCGCCCTGGCCAGATAAATAAGCAACTATTGTTAACAATTAAAATGACACTTAAATAAAAAGGTCTTTGCCTGGCGCCAAAAAACAAATGACGGCGGCGCCAGGCGGACCTCTCTGGGGAGCGCATTCCATAGATTGGGCGCCACCACAGAGAAAGCCCTCCTCCGAGTACCTACCCTCCTAATTTCTTTCACGGAGGGTTAGGCAAAGTGGTTTCGGCAGATGGCAAAGTGGTTTCGGCAGATGCCAAAAATTAAGACCCCAAAATACCGCTTCATAAAAATCAGGAAAAACCCTTTAAACAGCTCCAAAAACAATAAAATGCTTACCGAAAAGAGACCAGGACCCCGGAAAACAACTACAAGTAAAAGCAATCTCATATGGTGTTAAATACCTGGAGGTAGAGGAAAGGTTTATTCAGCTGCTCAAAAGATGACAAGTTTGGCTCCCTCCAGACCTGACTGGGGGCAGCATTTGATAATGAAGGTGGAGGTGGGGGCGACCATGGAGATGGTTTCTCCACGGCTGGAACCTTCATGCATTTATGAGGAAGGGCGCACTTATGTAACCATGCTGGGACTCAGTTTGGGGCCAACCTTCATGAGACCCTGCTCTATGCCCTCCAAGTGAACAGCTCCCTCTGAGCACACGCTTAAGACGCATGTGTTGCAAGATTGCAAACTCATGCACGGCTGCTGGGAAATAAATTCCACGAAATCGACTTCTGAGTGCTGTAAACCACCCAGAGAGCTTCCTCTATGGGCGGTGTAGAAATGAAATAAACAATAAATAAAAATGACAAGTTGCCACCACATGACAAGTCCAAGAGAGGCGTTGCCATGCTCTGAGTGCTGTTTGCTTGTGCATTGGCTGGGACTGTGAGGAAATCTGCGGCTCCCAGCTTTCCCACCTGCCTTTTGGGAATCCCAAAATAGAAGTGGAAGTCAGGCAGTGACTTCATAAAACAACCTGATGCCAGGATTGTGCAAACATCTTTGTTATTATGTGCCGTGAAGTCATCTGTGACCTATGGCAACCCTATGAATGAAAGCCCTCCAAAACACCCTATCCGTGAGGGTCCTGCTCAGCTCTCACAATGTTCTCCTTTATGAAGTCAATCTATCTCATATTTGGTCCTCTCTTTGGTCCTCTGCCTTCAACTTTCCCTGGCACGATTGTCTTCTCCAGGGCGTCTTGCCTTCTCGTGATGTGTCCAAAGTGTGACACCTCAGTTTAGCCATTGTTCCCTCTAGGGAAAACCGTGGCTTGATTTGATCTAGGACTGACTTGTCTACACTTTCGTGGGAGTACGTGCTGTGGAACTCAGTTCCTGCATAGGAGTGCAGTGTTAGCCAAATAGAGCAGAGGCATCTCCACCTTTTGAAATGAAGTGAAGCAAATTTGGTATTATTTATTTGCAAATTCATGGGTCACCTTTCAGCCAAAGGCAACGTGCAATTAAAACCTGAGTTAATTCAAAGGTTCACTGATAACCATCTATTAAAATACTGTTGGTGACTCACTGCAGAATGGCAAGGTTGCAGAATAGCAGGAGATGGCAAGATCCTGCTCAGAAGCACTTGCAAGCACATACAGATGCTAATGCGGATGGTTTCTACCAGCAGTCCTCCATCTGTTGCTGATGGGCTGCAGTCCCCATCAGCCTTGCCCATTAATGTGGTGCTGGGGCAAATGGGAGCTGGATTCCAGCTGCAGCTGAAGGGCTACAGGTTCCCCATCCCTGATCTGCTACCAGGCAGATGCCAAGCACTGCTTCAAGATGCTACACGGCACACGGCTGTGTATTGTGTGTTTAGAAAGAAGTCCCATTGGCGTCTATGGGGTTACTTCTGGCAGCCCTGCAGTCCATGCACACACTTTAATTTTGGAGCAGGCATCACAGCCAGTGCCCTCTGATGAGTTAGGCTACGATTCCCATCAACCTGGCCAGAGTGGGTTCAATTCATCCGGAGAAATTGCCACTCAAGATTTAACTTCTTGAGATCCAAGAGAAGGACCTAAACCTTGAAAATTTACAACAGCAGCTACAAAATTAACAATAATACCCCTGTGCTTCTGATGCCCAGAAATTAAAATAGAAATTGTTGTCTTCCAGCAGGCATTTAACTTCTACTGTTACATTCACTGCAGGTCCTTTGATACTTTTCATATATTTTAATGCTTACATATTTAACCATGCATCATTTTTAACCTTGCATGGTTGCATTTTAATTTGATTTAATTACATTTGGGGGTGGTTTGGTTTTGTGGTTGCCACGAACCCAATGGAACTCGCCACTTCGGTGGTACACGGATGTCAATAATCAATGAGACGAGCTTGAACATGATCAAGAATGCAACTTCATCACAAATGGTGGCAAGGCATTTCCTTAATTTCTACTAAGAATCTCATCTTTCATAAGCTGTGGTGCTTTACTTCAGCTTCCTTTGGGCTGAATCCAAAGCATTTTTGGAAGGAAAGATGGAAGGAGAGAAGGAAAGAATGAGACCCTGTAACCCATACTTTGCCTGAGAAATGCTGGAAGTGAAAAGAGCTTCTTGATTAAATACGCACAGGATTGCACCCAAAACCTATTTTTACCTACCCACTCCTAAATCTCAGCTGAAATTGCATACTTTAGTGTATCCATACTGTTATCAAATCTTCTTATTGTGTATTATTGTTTCGTATTGCTTTGCATTTTTGTTTGCTTTTGTTTTAATGTTGTTCGATATTTATGTTTTGTTATTACTTTGTTTTTATCTGGTTTTACTGTAATCTGCTTAGGCAGTCCTTTGGACTAATAAATGCAGGGTATAAGTTAAATAAATAAATAAACCATGCAATCCTGTACACACCTACTCCAGTGTAAGTTCACTAGCACTCAACGGGGCTTTTCTCCAAGTAGCTGTGAATCGGGCCCCCACTCCAAATCCAGTGTTGCTGGTGTTAATGGTTTGAACATAACCGACTTCTGCATGAGTGCCGTTCTGTCCCCAGAACTGTCTGTGACTTTGCGTAGGCTTCTAAAGACGTGATTCTACGCAAGTTGAGACAGGATAAAGGCCTGAAATTCCCAGCATGCCCCAGCCGGCATACTGGAATCCTGGGCCTCCGCTCTGTCCCAGCTTGCATTGGGTTTTGCCTCTCCCTGCTTCATTCGTCCCTTTTCAGCCCTTCCTCAAGAAGTACTGAACTGCAGCTGCTGCGATGCTGGCCTGGCTCTCTCTCTGCGTCGCCCACAGTGTCCCACAAAAGCCAAAGGAGTGATAAGAACAGTCATCGTGTAAGGCCAAAAAGTGGCAGTGATGGACAGAGACTTGGACTGAGGAATGCTCGGGGGTGCCTCACCCCACCTTGTCTCCAAACCCCCTCTCTTTACAGGGACATCAATGGGGGGGGTCTGGGTCGAGGAACTCCCCAACTTGCCACCCCTCCTTCCCGGGGGGGGGGGGGGGGGGCCCCCCGGGCCCCCCCCCCCGCGCCCCTGGGGCTCCTTCCCACGAGACTACTCCCCGGGGGGGGCGGGGGGGCGGATGGGAAGCGCCCGTCCGCCTCCGCTCTCCCCGGACAATGGCTGGCCGCGGAGGCTGGCGACAGGGAGACTCGGGCCGCCCCGCCGGGCCCGCGCCAGCCAGGGGCCCCGGGGCGTCCGCGCCGAAGGCAAGCCATGCTCGTCCCCGGGGTTTAGCCAAATTGCTCTGACATGCGGGAGAGCCGCAGACATCCGCGGGGAACGATCTAATGGTCCTTAATTTCATTAGCGCGGCTCTGAGGGAGAGGCGGCCTCGGCGCCCCCTCGCTTGCCATTGTTGCGGAGGCAGCCGCCGTTGGCGGGGGGGCGCCGGGCGGAGGCGAGGGGCGTCTCGCAGCGCCCCTTTGCCCTCTGCACGCAGCCGCCCCTCCCGCCGCCAGCCCTCGGGCGGGACGCACAAGCCCCCCCCCCCCCCGCGCGGACGGGAGTCTGCGAGAGAGCGCCGAGCCGCGCCGCGGCGGCCCGATCCGCCACGGGCCTGCCTGAAGCGGCGGCTCACCCCCTCGCGGAGGCTTACTCCCAGGGAAGCGGGCACAGCGCTGCAGCGTGCCTGGGCGGAAGTGAGAGGCGTCGCAGGGCAGCGCCAGGGAAGTGTGCATAGGATCGGGGCCTCACAGCACAATCTTCTATGTGCCTACTCAGAAGTAGGGCCTGTGAACACACACACACGGAGGGAGGGAGGGGAGAACCACAGGTAGCCAATGCCGACAAGCCAGCTCCCCAAATTCCATCATCAAGGGGGAAAAAAACCCTTCCAGGATCGTGCTATGAAGAGGGGATGGGGCTATGCAGCTAGGTACACCCTTGACTACCACTCCCAGCATCC